CAGGCACTCTACAGAAATGGACTATGCAGCCAGCTGTGTGGTACATAAATAAACTTGATGGGAATACATTCCCCTGAGCAGTATACCACACTACACAGACACGAAGGGAAATCAGAGCTAAGCTAAAATCTCAGTTTGTAGTTGGCTTTGTAGTAGTTAGACTTAATGAGTGCTTGGTGTTGGCAGAGTAATTTATTTCAGTTAGTGAAATACAGTATAAAGTGGCATAGTTGGATCTTTATGTGTTATTCTGAGACCTCGTTTTCCTGAAGCTCCAGGGAGGTTTATTTTGACATTATTATTTAAATTTTTAAAATTGTCAATGTACTTTAGCTTTATTTATATGCAGTGCTGAGAATTGAACCCAGTGTCTCACTCATGCTAGGCAAGCACTCTACCACCGAGCCACGATCCCAGCCCTTGACATAATTATTGATACAATACTTAAACAATATTGTATACTATATTAAGGTATGAAAAAAAATCTTAAATGTGTCACAATTCTGAAGTAGACTGATTGATATAATGAGCCTTCATGTACTCATTAGCCTCAACAGGTATTAGTTGCCATCAGTCTTGTTTCATGTATCTCTGCCTCTCTCACTAATGATTGTAAAACATATCCCAAGCATGTTCATAAATATTTCTCAAGAAATAGGAAGAAAAAAAACAATACAATATTGTATGTTTTGAAAAATAAGTATGTTTTTCATACTTCAAGTTAACCATAATTTCTTAATATTATTGTACAGTCTTCATTTATGTCATGTATGTTACATTTTAAAAAACATATGGGCTGGACACGTTGGCCCATGCATGTAATCCCAGCAGCTCAGGAATCTGAGACAGGAGGATCACTAGTTCAAAGCCAGCCTCAGCAACCCAGAGGTGCTAAGCAACTCAGCAAGACCCTGTCTCTAAATAAAATACAAAATAGGGCTATGAATGTGGCTCAGTGGTTGAGGGCCCTGAGTTCAATCCCTGATTACCCACCACCCCCAATTGGACGTAGTCCCCCCCCTGCAGCAGTATATTTGCTAAAGATTCCTTGTCCTTTAGAATTTCCCATAGGTTAGAGTTGCTAAATGTGTTCCAAGGATATCCTTTAACTGTTTATGTGTTTTTTTCTTTTTTGTAAATTGGCAGTTTTATCTAGGTTGCTTAAACAAGTTTAGATTTATGAGGTGGAGTTATTTCCTGAGTGATACTTGTTGGTTTATCAAGAGACCCCCTACCCTGTCTTTTTAAAATGTCTAGATTGAAGTGACAAAATGGCAATGTATCATTGGTTTTCATTTTTTAACTGGAGTATTTCTAATAGAAACCTTATTTAATGAAATAATAGTTACTAGGCAATATAATTTATATAGAAAAGAAATACTAAATCTTGGTTCTTTTGCTTCCTTTTTATTGCTTTTCAAAATAATAAAATGATTAGATTGGGGATGTAGTTTAGTGGTATAAGAGTGTTTGCCTAGTATGCGAGAGGCCTTGGGTTTGGTCCTTAAGAATGCCAGACAAACACAACAAATGAACAAAAGAAAACAACAAAATAGCTTACTGGAATAATGTAATGATGATAAGTTAGTTTTTTGTTTTTTGATAGCACAGGTATGAACACCTGGATTTAAACATATTTATGTTTCAGTTCTTTGTGATTATTAAGTTGATTGATATTCAAATTGTCATATTTGACAGTGGGAGCCTTTGAAGAGGCTTGAAGTTTAGCTCCTGAGTCCTTTTAACAAAATCATATATTATTATTTAATAGCTTACCTTTTGTCAGGTGTGTATGATATGAGCCTGACACATTTCTTACCCTAGACTTGGGAATCAGTCACTTCTCTAAAGAGCTCATGTCCCTGTTAGTAGTAATTTCATATTTGGAGACCATCTTCTGAGTAGTAGGGATACTCAGTAGTAGGCAAGCCATTTTTCTAAACCTTTTCAAGAGCAGAAATAAAATTTTAAAGCTATGGTATGAATTCATATTGGTTCTTAAAATTCAGATTTAGTATTGTAGGGTTTCACTTTTCATAAGCCCCTCCTATTCTTTTTTTTTCTTTATTAGAAAAAGGTAAAAGAAGGTTTATTGCTACAAGTCTCTTTTTAGTCTTAGTCTTATTCTGGATAATGACTGTATTTTAGCAATTGTTCTTATGCATTATTTCCTATTACATACACTTATTCAGATATTCCCTCTCAAGGACATTTATTTGTCCTTAGTTTCTCTTTACTCATGGGTTGTAAAACAGTCTGACCAACAGTGATTTCCAGATTCATAGCATGCACATATAGCTTCCATTTAACAATCATGTGACATTCTAGGATTTACTGAGTTTCAAAAATTGTAGTATAACACACAGAAAACTACATAAATATCTTGTATAGCATGTCATTACTAGCACCCCAGAATTCTACTCACATTTCCTGCCAGATACTATTCTTATTTCTTCCAAAACAGAAAAAAGAACTATGTCCTAGTTTCTAATACTAGTGATTAGTTTTGCCTCCTTTAGAACTTTATTTTTATTTTTTTAATATTTATTTTTAGTTGTAGTTGGACAAATACCTTTATTTTTTATTTATTTTTATGTGGTGCTGAGGATCAAACCCTGGGCCTCACATGTGCTAGTTAAGTGCTCTGCCACTGAGCCACAACTTTGGAACTTAAAAAAAAAAAAAAAAACTCTTAGGAGGGGGTTCCAGCCCCTCCTTTGGAACTTTAAAAAAAAAAAAAATTCTTGACTCTGGAAAATGAGATCTTTCAGGCCATTTGCAACTCTCTTTCTCTTTTTTTTTAATATTTATTTTTTTAGTTGTAGATGGACACAATACCTTTGTTTTATTTATTTATTTTTATGTGGTGCTGAGRATGGAACCAAGGGCCTCAAATGTGCTAGGCTAGTGCTCTACCGCTGAGCCACAACCCCAGTCCCCTTTCCAACTCTTAATTGTGTCTCCACAATTTGTATTAGGCATGTTAGACATTTATCTGTTTTGTTGCATATATTCTCTAGTACAGTCATTTGTATTTAGACTTTCTTGCTGTACTGCACTTGCAGCCTTGACTTTCTTTTTGCTGAATCCAGTAGACTGGATTTAGACCTCTTGTTCCTTTTCTCATTGTTGGCTATTGTGCCTTGCCATTCATCTTCTTTAGCTTCTTTGATACAAATTCTTTGGTTTCTTACTTCTCTTTTTATCTTCAGAATATGGTGTTTTCTAGAGGTCATTCCATTCCATCCTTCCTGGGGTTATGTCATCATTAATCTAATGATTTAAGTTATCAGAATATTTTGATAACACATTTCTTTCCCTCCCTCTCTTCTTCCCTCCAAACATTAATGTCTTTTTTTTTTTTTTTTTTAGTAGTATTGGGGTTTGAACCCAGGGCCTCATGCATGCCAGGCAAGGGCTCTACTCCCGAACTACATCCCCAAGCTCCACATTTCTTTTTAAAAGCAGTGTATTTATGTTCCTTAAATATTTAAAACTAGACCCATCATCCGTTCTTCCCCTTACCCCTCAAACTAGTACCTCCTCCTGTATTTCTCATTTTAGTGAATCTGTGTGTCATTTTAAGAGTGAGGCGAAACCGACATACATTTAACTGTTCAAGCACATCACTTAGTGGTTTTGAGTGTAACCCCAGCACCTTTTCATCAACCCATAAGCCACTCCTACAAGCTGAGTAAGTAACTCTCTCTCCATTTCTCCCACTTCCTATCCATTGGTAACCTCTATTCTGCTCTTGGTGTCTTTTGAATTTGCCTGTCCTGGATTTATCATATAGAAGAGGTCATATGTGACTTTATGTAACTGGTTTCTTTCCCTTAGTCTGATGTTTGTTTTTGKTTTTATTTATTTATTTTTTTGTGGTGCTGAGGATTAAACCCAGGATCTTCTATAGGGTAGGCATTCACTTTGCCTCAGTTTACATCCACAGCTGTAGCCTGAGGTTTTTTTCCCCCTCTTCACTCCCAAGGTTTGAACCCAGGTCTCTGTCACTGAACTACCCCATCCCAAGCCCTCTGTATTTTATTTAGTGTGGGATAGGGTCTCACTAAATTGCCTAGGCTGGCTCAAACTTGTGATTCTCCTGTCTCAGACTCCTGGATAGCTGGGATTACAGGCATGGCACTTTGGTTTACCCTCATGTTTTTAAGGTTCATCTAAATCGTACCATGTGTTAGTACTGCATTTCTTTTCTTTTTTTTTWAAATTGTTGTTTAGTTGTAGTTGGACACAATACTCTTTATTTTATTTATTTTTATGTGGTGCTGAGGATTGAACCCAGGGCCTTGCATGTGCTGGGTGAACGCTTTACCACTGAGCCACAACCCCAGCCCCAGGACTGTATTTCTTTTTATGGCTGAATAATAACCCATTATATGTTTATTCCACAGTTTGTCTATTAATTCATTGAAGAAGCTATTTGAGTTGTTTCTTCTGCCTTCGGGCCATAGTGAATAATGCTGCTATAAACATGTATGTATAATTTTCTATGAGGGCAGATGCTTTCATTTCCCTTGGGAATATACCTAAGAGTGGAATTGCTGGGTCATAATAGCAACTCTATGTTTAACTTTTTGAGGGCTTGTATGTCTGTTTTTGGTTTGCATAGGGGTACCAGGGATTGAACTCAGGGATGCTCAACTTCCAATTCACATCCTAGCCCTATTTTGTATTTTATTTAGAGACAGTGTCTCATTGAGTTGCTTATTGCCTCACTGAGGCTGAGGCTTGCTTTGAACTTCGATCCTCCTGTCTCAGCCTCCTAAGCCGCTGGGATTACAGGTGTGTGCCACCACGCCTGGTACTATTGGTGCTTTTATTATCACGCCTCACCTTATGGAGCAGAGGGGATCATGGAGAAGAAAACTCAATATGAAATCTAAACAACTGGGTTCAGATCCTGTCTTTGCCAATCACTTCATCATTCTATGCCCATTACCTGAGAAGAAAATTTGAGTACACCTCTGTTCTCCCTTCCACAGGGTTTGTGAAGAGACTGTGTTTCCACACTATGTCCCTATGCACCTTGAACCCCAAAGAGCCCAGCCAGAGGGAAGACCCCAGTGAGCAAACCAGGGCTCCTCAGCCTCCTGTGCTGCTGGGATTACAGGCATGCACCACCACATCCGCAATTGTATGTCATTTTGACATTTAACACTTTATCCCCCACCTCACCAAGTTTGGTTAATTAATCTTATTTTCTAAATATTCCTGTTATCATTCATTTTTTCTCCTGCCCTATACTTAAGATACACTTTCCAGGATTAATGTTAATAGCTACCTTTTAATTTTCTTAGACTTCCTCATGACGCTATTTCTGTAATTTCTACACACACAAGATTGGTTTTTGAAATGTAAATCTCATGAGGTCACCCCATTGTTGAGAAAAACAAAACAGTGGAGTGGGGGGCATGTTTGAAGTGTGGTCATGAATGCAGTCTTAGTGCCAAGGAGGCTGAGACAGGAGACTCACTTGAGCACAGGAGAGTTCAAGACTATAATCAGGCCAACATAGTGAGATCCCTGTCTCTTAAACAAATGAACAAACAAAACTACCACCCCCCCAAAAAAATAAAGCTGGCGGGGAGGAGAATAGGAGGAAGGGAAAAAAGACAAAATAACTTCACTACCCTCTGGATAAAGTCCACATTTACATATCCTTGAGGGCCCTTTGCTATCCAGTTCCTGCCATTCTGTCTAGTTCCATTTGTGTGCCCTACTTCAGTAGTAGATTCAGCTCCATATTTCAAATTTTGCATATGCTTCTCTACCTATACCTTGTATCCAATCCTTTGTCTCATTTTTCTTTTGAGAAGCTTTTTGTGACTCTCAGTGATTATGTTATATGCCTTTCTTTGTTGGACTGCCCCCTATTTCTGTACTGTTGTTAGAGCATTTACGACATATTGCCATTGTCTATTTACTTCTCTGGGAATCAGAAACTAATAATAGTCTAGTGCCAGGTAATAAAGTATAATGAATAGGAATTTAGCAAAATGTTAAAAGATTATTTGTAAGTTATTTAGGAAAGACCTTCTTGAACTAGACCTTGAAGGAATCATTCATGAAGATATGATAATGGCCCACCACTATAGGTGCATTTAAACCTGTCAAATAATTTGTCATGGAACCAGGCCTAGGAGGATCCATGTTGGGGGCAAAAGCCATGATAAAAGTGAGATGTTGGGACATTTTTGAGCCTTACTTCACCACTTAATTGAAATGTGCAGTGGACACAATCATGCCTGTAGACATCATGTCATGAAAGAGTATGAGTTTCAAAAATTAGGGTGTATTGACAAAAGTAATATAAACAATGATATGCTTTATGGAAAGTGTAAGGACATTTTCAAGGGTAATTTTGACCTCATGTGTTAATTTCAGAGCTTGCTACCTACCTACTTTTATAAAACTTCACTGGACTTCTGTTGGAAACTGCAACAAACTAGGTGATTTCTGGATAAGTTATAAAATCATGATTGGAGAAGAAGATCTGAGTAATACAGTTGTCCCTCAGTATCTATGGAGGATTGATTCCAGGACTTCATTCCCTCAGATACCAAAATCTAAATATTCAAATCCCTTGTGTAAAATAGCATACCATTTGCCGATAACCTCATATGTACTTTTAAACATTTCTATATTACTTATAAGACCTAATATGATATAAATGCTATGTAAATTGTTGTTATACTATATTGTTTAGGGAATAATAACAAGAAAAAAGTTTATGTTCAGCACAGATGCAATTCTTTTGTGGGGATCCAACCCAGGGTCTGATGCATAGGAGGCAAATGCTCTACCACCCAGAAATGTTCCCAATACCATTCCCCGTCCTTTAAAAATTTGTTTTAAATCTGTGGTTGGTTGAATCTGTGGATATGGAGCCTGCAAATATAGAGGGCTAATTATATAATAATGTTTGTCTGGAAAGTGGTTAGAAATGAGAGAACTCATATAGAAAGTGACTGCCCATATTACATTTGTCTGAGCATTTCACTGTATCCTTCAGTCGACAGTAAAAATGGGACTTTCTTTTCTTTTCTCCTATGTCTGCAGTATAGTTGGCACTCAGTAAAGGTATGCTTGCATAAACAGCCACAAATCCTATCTTAATGTCTTTGCATTTTTAGTGTCTTTTAATAAAAACTTAGAATATCTATTTAAAAGTAAAAATGCATTTCTTGTAGTTTTAGCTGTTTATAAAAGTCTACTATGCCTACCAGTCAAAAATAATAGACTTATAAAATTTTGAGAAAAGAAGCTCTTCGTGTTTAAATATAAACTTTTACTTTTTATTCTCTCCATGTTTCATTGACCTGTTGGGTGTTAAGTCCTAGTTGTTGAAATAACACTATCCCTGAATCCTCAAAGAATTAATACCTCCTTCTCAGTTACCAGCACACTTTGTTCAGTCTTTTATAGCACTGCGGATTGTGTTACACTTGCTTCCATGATTAGATGGAATGTCTTGAAGATGATGGCAGGTGTTACACGAGAATCACACTCTTACTTAGATTTCCAGCAAGTCCTTTCTGAACTACTTTCCTTGTCCTCGGTTCCCCCCCCATTTTTTTTTTTTCAGGAAAAAACAGTTCATAGTGTTGTTTGTAATTGACATATATGTTTACTATCATGATTGGGTGATGACTTTAAAAGTGTATACAGGGCTGGGGATGTGGCTCAAGTGGTAGCGTGCTTGCCTGGCATGCGTGCGGCCCGGGTTCAATCCTCAGCACCACACACAAAGAAAGATGTTGTGTCCGCCAAAAACTAAAAAAAATAAATATTATTTTTAAAAAAAGTGTATACAAACATCAATACTTAACCAAATTGGGTATGTGTGCAGTTCACAAAATGTCATTTATACATCATTAAAGCTTTTAAGAAGGATGCTGATTGTGACTTGTCCACTCTCAGTAGGTCACTATATTATTAAGCCCTGTGTCTCCCAAAATTGTTTAGACTGTGTATCCCTTCCTGCTAAGATTTTCTGTTGGCCTGTGTTCCCCTACCCCTTGAATTCCTTGTCTCTGTTCTTGTCCCCCACCCTTATCATTCTTTCTCTGTGCCAGGGTACTCTCCTTACAAGAGTAAAAACTTCACCATGCCACAGCCATTCTTGTAGACAACAGCTGTTATTCTGAAACTATTCCTGTGTGCTAGAAGCTGTGGCTAGCAGAGCATTCAGCACACACAAGCAGGAAAGATGGAGCCTCTGCTCTAGTTATGGTGGTGCTAGTTATGGTAGGCCACTTGGGAGATCACCACTTAAGAGATGTGTGTCCCTAGACTACAGGGGACATGTCAAATAGATATACACATATTAATAGAAATAAGAGTTGGTTAAACTCTGAAAATTCCAATGAAAAAAGTATTATTTGGTATTCTGTCAATGTTTCTGAAAATGTGCCCTAAAGACCTCAGCATCAGAATTACCATTTCTGATTTAATGGCTAGTTCTCTCTGAGCTGAAAATGGGTCTGGACATCTTTTTTGTACCAGTCTCTCTTAAAGACGKCTATATGAATACCATGAATGGTAAGAGTTTGGCTGGACAGAAGTAAGAAGGGGAGAAGTAAGAAGGCAATAGAAGTTGATCTGCTGAATAGTTGCTATTATCTTGTAGTATGGAAATGGAACATTTGTTTGTCAGGTACCATTTTGTCTGGCGAGTTGTATCCATTTGAGGGTTTAGAACTTAAGGCATGCATTCTCAAGTCCTACAGTTTATAAATTGGATAAAAATTATGTGCTTGAAAGTTTTGATCAAAATTTTCTTTTTCCACAGAACTCAACAAAAATCCAGTGGAAGGCTTTTCAGCAGGTTTAATAGATGACAATGATCTCTATCGATGGGAAGTCCTTATTATTGGTCCTCCAGACACACTTTAGTAAGTATAATGGAACTGACATTTTCAAAATTGTTCTTTTAATTAAATGAAATTACAAGTTATTTTAGCAGGCCAAAGTGAAATTGCTTTTTAGGGAGCAGGTTTGTACTGAATTTGAATTTGGTTTTTGTTTTTGTTTTTTTTTTTTTAAATAAAGGATAAAGGTCTATTTATTTATTTATATTTGGGTTTTGTGTTCTTTTTGAAACTCCAAGGTCTACGACCATTGCTCATAAAAATAGATAATACTTTCAGAAATTCAGATACTCTTGATACCTGGAACAAATAAATTACAAAATAGCTATCTTACTGTGAGGTTATACAAAAAAGTTTTTTTAAAAAAATATTTATTCTTAAATTTTAGGTAGACACAATATCTTTATTTTACATTTATGTGGTACTGAGGATCGAACCCAGTGCCTCATGCATGCTAGGTGAGCACTCTACCACTGAGCCACAACCSCAGCCCCATACAAAAAAGTTTTTTACTTAACATCTTAGAAATTGAGAGATTTAATTTTAAAAGGACCAGGAAGGAAGAAAAATTTCTGTTAAAACATGTCTTCTTCTTCCTTTTCTTGTACTTATTGCGCCTTGATCCCAAAATGGAAAATAATAATTTTAATAAACATGAGTTCAAAGCCAGCCTCAGCAAAAAGCAAGGTGTTAAGGAACTCAGTAAGACCCTGTCTCTAAATAAAATACAAAATAGGGTTGGGGATGTGGCTCAGTGGTCAAGTGCCCCTGAGTTCAATCCCTGTATCTAAAAMGAAGCTCCAAGGTCTCACCATTCTTAACACTATAATATCAAATCATAGGATTATATTTTTGTGAAAAAATTTCGTATATTGTGAACATATGAGCATCTTATGAAGGCTGGAGTAAACTTTCAAGATCATTTAGATTCTAGTGGTTCTCTAATTGGCTCCCCACAGAATACTGATTATAGAAAAGGTTTTCTGACCCTAAAGTGAAATAATGTCCATTTTTCTCTTGTTTATAAAAGTTATTATTAGGGTATAAAAATAGTAACCGATTGCCAGTTGTTGAACCATTGATTTAAAGGTAGATAGTGGAATGTAGTGGTATCAAGGAATAATAGAAAAAAAAGAATTTCTCAAGTATTTCATTTAATACCTTTCTACTACAGTCTTATATTCTGCTCTGGGTATTTGTAGACTAACTTTACTAGCATTTTTTTATTCTATAAGACATCATTACTTCTTGATGTTG